CCCCAAAACCCCAAAACCCCAAAACCCCGCAATCATATTTGAATGTTTATATTAGTGAAATATATTATATTACAGAAGGTTTAAAATACAATATTAAATCAAAGTCTAATGGGAGCTGCACCTTTAATTAAGGGAAGTAGATCTTAATACATCGAACTTGAAAATTAAGTTATTTAGTCTGCTAAATGTAAAAACTTCATTAGGCAATTAACCCAGAAAAAAGAGAGTGCCAATAATATCCTAACTCTAGTAAAGAAAAACTCTACAGTAATGCAAAAATAGCTCTCGATCAATCCGAAGCAAGATAAGATATAATCTTCCCCTGAATTTCACCCTTTATCGAAAAAACCTACAATTGATTTAGACAAGATTATAGAAAGTGAAGGTAATAAATATTTAGGTTAAGTATATTAGAAAAGAAAGATGATGAGCCAGAGTACAGATAAATCAATAGAGTCGATATAGAATCATTTGAGTTGGATGAAGTAAGAATTCTTCGAATTTCTTTAATAAAAAATTATCAAATAGTCAAATTAAAAATATACATATATAGGGAACCAAAGTAATTAATGGAGAACTAAGGCTATATGAAAAGATTGGATATGGTGGTTTCTGTAAAGTCTATAAAGCTCTTGTAACCTATATTGATGAGGATGATGGAGAAATTGTAAACAAGGAAATGGCTGTGAAAAACTTCAATAAGCATACTCTCCATAAAACTTACACTAGATTTGATAAGAACGGTCAAATTGAAAATGCCTCTCAACTTGATAAAATTTATGAGGAGATTGATGTGTGGGAAAGGCTTGAGCATGAAAAACTTTGCAGAATCTTTTGTCTATATGAGGATGATGATTAGATGTATCTTGTGATGCAGTATTGCGAGCACGGAACAATACTTAATTATTAGGAAGATAAATAGAATCCTAACAACAAAAATTTTGTTAGAAATAAAAAAGTGCACGAACTAGCTCGTGAATAAGTTGACTTAAAATATCTAGGCATATATAAGTATTCGGAGGAAGAAGAAATAGCAAAGTATCTCTTCAGACAAGTAGCTATAGCTTTATAATACCTTCATAATGATGCAAAGGTAGCACACAGAGATATTAAGCCCGAAAATATACTATACATCTATGAAGATCTAGTGAAAGTATCTGATTTTACTCTCGCTATGAGGATTGAATCAGAGGATGAATGTGTCTATGGATAGGAAGGTACAATCTATTACCTACCACCTGAGAGTTTAGCTTATGAAAAGTATAAGCCAAAACCGATGGATATTTGGGCCTTCGGAGTCTCATTATACAACTACCTTACTTTGAAATAGCCATTTTTCGGGGAACTTGAAGAAGAAATTAAAAATAGAATACTGAATGAGGAACCTTAATATTTCGATTGGTTCTCCGATGATTTGAAAGACCTTCTTAAAAAGGTTTTGGAGAAAGATCCAAACAAAAGATTAGACATAAATGGAGTACTTGATCACATTTGGATGTAAAATGAGCCAGAAGAAGAATTTGAAGAAGAAGCTGAAGCATGAATAAAGAAATAAACTAAAATTATTATTCAAAATGTATATATTTCTGTCAAGTGGGGTTTTGGGGTTTTGGGGTTTTGGGG